TGACTTCTCATAGTAATAAAATCCAGCAACAGCACAGCATCAATCAACTAAATCAGACTTTGCTAAAGGAAAGAACCTGTACTTCTTCCCAAGGGACCCAGAGTCTATGTCCAGGTTGAAAGGATGGTCAGAACTGCCTCCTCCTTGTCGATTTCTCTGTTCTGTAAGGACTTTGCAATTTTCTTTCTTTCCTAAATGTATGTTAGTTTGTATACAAATAGGACAGTTCATCTGCCAGAAACTGAGTGACTGGTCTGTCACAGAGTTAATGTCTCGTTATTTCAAAGTACTTTGTGTTTCATTTTAAAACTCATTGGCAACTCTGTTTTTAGTTAACTTCTTGAATTCAGTCATTTGAAACTGAAAAGTAGCCTTGGATAAAAATTAGCTTTATCAGTGTGTGTTTTAACCCTGTGTTAAACTTTTCTTCACTATCTACTGTTTGCAGATAGATATGGTAGGACTTATCGATTAAAAGACTGGCTTTTCCTAACTATCTTTGTGAGCGAAACTCACTGAATTGTTTTGCACCAAACAACCCAGACTAAATAGGATACAGGGAACAACTGACTCTAGATTCCAAAATCAATATAATTGTAACTATTAGTACAGAAGTCAGAGACTTTATATTTATAACTCTGAGCTAATTACTGTGATGTAGGCTTTTAAAAATATCATTTTAAAGTCCCTTAAATAGCTCTAAAGTGTTGGGTGATATCTTTCAATTTTCCAGATAGAAGGTGGCCATATAACTTCTTGTTGGCTCTTTTCTTTGACAGATACAAGATGACCATATAATTTACTGTCCATACAAGGACCTTCTGGAGAGAAGATGGGGATCTAGATAGCAGGTGTAAACAATACTTTCTGGCAGTAGGTTTACAACAGGACATTCAGATATATGGAGCTCTTCTGCCTCCCGGGCAGGCTGAATATGTGCTATAATGCTGGAAACTTTCACCTGATAATACTTGTGTTACTTAACCTTGATTATCAACTTGATTGGCTTGAGAGGTGCTTAGGAGATTTGTAAAGCATACTTTTGGGTGTATCTGGGAGGGTAATGGGGGCATGACCTTGGGGACTATATCTGGTTGCTGGCCCCTTTCTCTCTGGCTTTCCCCCTGCTTTCTGATTCAGATGCCATGAGCTGAGCAGCTTTCTTGCATCAGGCCCCTCCGCCATGATTTTTCTGCCTTGGAGCCAGCTGACTATGGACTGAATCTTCTGAAACAGAACCCAAACCTTTTCTTTAAGTTGTGGGTATCAGGTCCTTTGTTCCAGCAACTGGAGAGTTGACCAATGCAATAGTTCTGATAAATCCAGGGTTTTTTTTCTTCTTCCTGGAATCATCCTTTCATTCTCCTTGGTCCATCTGATCTCAGTAACTCACTGTTTCTGGACCTGAGGATGCCTTTCTACCTCAAAGTCCTTTTCTGCTTAGAAAGGCATGGAAGTTCATGGAAGTCCCACTGATTCTCTGGGACCTAATTCAGCAGTACTTTTCTTGCTGAATTAGGTCTAAGCTCCCACAAGGCTGCATTTGGATCCTTGTTTTAAGGCAGTCACACCTTTCTATTTTGTTACATTTTTATGTGTTGTTTCATGTTCACTGCTTTACTGAGAGGAGAGACCACACTCAAAGCTGGGACATCATGGTACTCGTTTGAATGTGCATCCCTCATTTAAGCTTCTTCTCATGTGTCTTAATAATTCTGGTGTTTTTGATGTATTTTATTTTCCTAAATTGTGATAACAAAACGAGCATACAAACAGATTGAAAGCCTTGCCATATCTGGCACATGCAAGGAACAGGTTCAAGCTATTGCTGGACTTGAAAGCCAATGTTTTCCACTTAAGAGCTGTGCAACCTCATGCAAGTTCCCTACCCTTTGTGCACCTGTAAAATGATAATAATAGTGTCTACTTCCTAGAGTTGTTATAAGAACCCAGTCCTCACAGAACAGAGTCTGACTACATTAAATATTCAATATCTTAGCTATTTTTATTGTTCAGTCTGCATTTTCCTATTTCTTGAGGCTTAATTTGCATTTTTGAATTGCACTGTAACCAAGAGAAAGCCAAAAGCATGTGTAATGTCCACCTCTGTGAGGTACAGCAAAGGATGGACATTGGAGAGCTATAGCCTTGATGATTCAGTGAGCACTTGATGGAATGGAATGAAAAGTCCTTTTGAACCTGAAGAGCTGACCAGACCATCCCTATTCTCGCAACCTAAGGTCAGAGAGTCAAAGTGCTGGGTCTCTGTGCATCTGTATCTGTAGAACAGGGACAATAATCATGAGCTGAAATGAAGATGAAATGAGGTAACCTGTGCAAAGCATTAAGCGTGCTGTGTACTTGCTATATACTTGCAATTGTCCATAGCTTCTATCCTGGAACATGAATTGACTGTGGAGAGAGGTGTATCACATGTTCTGGGGAAAACGTCCACTGGCTAGCTTCACTAGGGAATGTTCAGAGAGTGCAAGGCCCTCTCTTTGGATTAGAAACGCAGATGAGAAGACAATTTCTCTCTGGGAACATCCAGTGCAGGAAAAGCCAACATCAATATTTGAAAGTCTTTGTAAATAGGGAAGGGTGGAGGGCATGAAGGGAGAGCTAGGAATGGGGAAAAAATAAGAACCAAGATGCATTATGTAAAGGTACAATTCCCAATGAGAAATGTAATTGTGTTGTATACCTACAATGTACCGATAAAAGAATTTAATACAAAAAAAAATTTTGAAAGAGTGATCAATGCTGATGCAAGACTGAACATTAGTAACAGAAGTGGTGGCAAATTGAGGCCATTGGCAGGCAGCCTGAAAAAAGCCAGGAAATTTGTATTAATCTCCAGGAACAAGGTGTGAGCCCCCTGAGACTTCGGTGAGAGAAAGAAGGCACTCATAGTTCTTTTAGAGGAGTACTCAGAGCCAGTGGGTTTTTATTGCATCTTGTACTGCTGGGATGACTCAGCAGATTGTAGCTGCCTAAAGAACTAAGGTTATACAGGGTAGAGCTACAGAAAGAAGTTTGCTCAGTTCAAAATGTGCCTGCACCTAACTCCTACATCTATACAGAGCCTACAGTCCCCAAGGAAGGGACGTCCACCCCCTTTTTTGGCATCATCTACTAATAATATGCAATGTTTTTATGCTTATCCTCACTACTGGCTATTCCTTGTACAGCTGTACTCCTGGGACTATAGCTAGGGTACTTTGTATTCTCCTGTAGCAAGCATGTCCCAGAGAGTCCAAATGGTAGAGATGCTCGCAGTTTATTTTCAATTAGATCTTAACCTTTTCACTTTATTTCTACTTGGAGTCTGGTTAGTAAAGAAAAAAATAATGTTTTGTGACCTTCAAATAGGGCTCCAGCTGTTTCTCCACCCTTTCCCCTGTGGTTTAGTGAACCACACAGCCAGTGCTGCAATAGCCTTGTTTCTGGAATTCCAACTTCATTCCCAGCAGAGAATGACTAACGCTGAGGGCCACACATTGCACCAGGGGTTATGGAACAGAGCAAATGCTCACTGGAAACATGCTTTTATACACTGATTCCCATCGTTCGAAACAAAGTTAAGTTTGTTTTTTAAAAAAACTCCGAGTTTGCCCGTACTCTTCTTCAGTTCCAATCCCTTTCCCCCTGGCAAAGATGTAAAGAGAAAGAGTTCAGAAATGAGCACGGTGGTGGTTTCGTTTCAACCTGAGCAGAGGTCCGTGAGTGCTGCGGCTCTATGATGCTCGGAAGGAGGTGTGAGTGAGAGCGCTGGAAATAAACTCATCACTGGAAGAAGCTATTCACTAGCACCATTTTTTTGCTCTGGAAAAGATTTCCATGGAAGCCCAGCAAGCAGCCAAGGTAGGCAAGGGGAAGCAGTAAGAGAACCTTTACTAGCATTCTTCAAATCTTCCAAAGCACGTTTTATGAAGTGCCGCCACCCTATCCAGAAGCTCAGGCTTTGACACTACCCTCGCGCCTCGCTCCTAGCATGGTGTGTTGGGAGAGCTGTGTTCCCCAGCCAGGAGCTAAAGAACTCAAGGCTCCTGCAATCACTTGAACTGAAATTGTTACAGCCTTTACCCATTCAGCCTGCCAAAAACATTCTGTCGCTGTTAAGCCAATTGGTCCTCATTCCTTCTTCCGCAGGAAGAAGGCATAATTGGCCAAACTACATTTGTGCAATTAAAAATGGAAGAAGTGGAGTATGGAGAGAGGGAGAGCAGAGAGGCTGGAAAGCTGGGTGTTTCGATCAGTTTAGGGTATAGTTGTGTAGTGAGAAGTTGAGGGGTGGGCAGGAAATATACAGGACAGGAGGCTTTTTTAAAGTATGCTGTGGATTATACAGTTGGATCCCCTCTGACTTTTAGGAAAGTCAAAGATGAAACTTATTTTGTTGATAGGACTGCATTTGTCTTGTTGCTCATTGAGGGCCCAGGCTGTGTCAACTTCACACATACAAGGGATTATGGGCTTGCTCATCTCCGTGGGGCAAGCCTGGGAAAGTTTACCACCTTCCTGCAAGTCAAACTGGAAGGCTGAGACAGACGTTGGGGCTTTGGGTAAATCCAACAGGCAGAGGTAAAAAGTGGAGGTGGAGGGGGTGACATTGGTTGACATTCAAGCTGTGTTTGCTATTGGCTTTATATGTCTTCTGCCAGGGAACCTGGAGTCTTGGTTGTGTGGCTGCCTGGCTGTGGGTTGGATAACTTCATTTTACTGTATCCTTACAGTTGTCTCCATAGTTGGCAGCTGGAAATGGGAAGGAACAGTGCAGAGGCAACTAAAGTTTCATGTCCTTTTTATGAGCAACTTTTGTTGCTATCACATTGATTCATGACTGAACAGTACCTACATGCAGAGATTCAAAACATCCTGTCTGTTTCCTAGCTAATTTTGGGGTGGAGGAATGAATGGTTTCCATAGTCTGTTTAGAAAATGGCCGCTAGAAATCAGAGTTAAAAAGAAGTTAATGATTTTATTTCTTTCTCTTTCTCCCCAGTGATGAGTTTGAAAGTCTTGCTTGGGGCCATATGGCATGGATATGCCAGAAGGAAATTATATACTGCTCTGTTTCTACTCAACTGCTTTTCGTTGTGTAAGTGGACCCTTTGAAGTAGCCTTTTCCTTCAGATTCTGACATGAATAATTGTTTAATTGCCTTTCAGTCTATACAAGATAAGGAACCTTGTCTCAAAATTGCATGATTTTCTTCACTAAACAATAGCCAAACCACCCACAGCAGTTTTTGAGGAAAGGAATTCCACACATATGTTAAGCATTTTATTCTCTCCCAAGTGCTTTGCTTTGTATTATTTTGTTAAATCGGATAATGTATATGAAAGGACTGTGTCAATTGTATGACATAACAAAAAAGTAAGATTTTATAACATTATGGATTTGATTTTCCATACAGAAAACTGAGGCTTGGTGAGAGGAAGTTGCAGCCCAAAGCCCTAGCAGGTAAATTGGGCCCTGACTGCTGTCTGTTTTCTAGCTCTGGATGTGTGTTCTCTGCAGCGGATGCCTCCCTGGACAAGGTGTTAAAATTACAACAAACTGAATTTTGCAGCACTTAATAGACTTTGTTTATAATTTTAGAATTGTGCAATAAATTGGACCAAAATGGTTCAGAACATTCACTGCATGGGCAGGCTGTCTTTATCGCCAGAGAAGAGGAAGGGAGACATGGAAATGAAAGTGAGGCAGAAATGGTCCCATTGGTTATAACTCCTGACTTATTTGAACATGAGTTGAACGCTTGGCTGCTTGTGATTGGCTGAGAAGTACTACTTGTTACAAGAGTAGGTTCCATTCTATTTACAACACACATTAGGTTGTACTTCAGTATGTAAGGAGAAACCTTTAGGCCAAACTTACAAGTATGTACTAAGGCAACTAGCACCTAAAGGTCAAACCAATTCTACTGTAGCCTTGCCCAGTAAGGCCAAGGACCACCTTGAACTTCCCTGGAGGGCTCCCCAGGGAAGAACCCCTAAAGCCGAGCTCTTCAGTGTGTTTACTGTTCTCAGTTTCTTCTCAACAACCCTGTTCTCTACCTCAAAGGCTTTAGACAGTGACTTGACTTTTTATCCTGTTCAGCTGTTTCCAATCAGTCTTCTACGTATTACTTTCTATCAGGCTGGGTCAGAGGAGTCATATTTAGACATATCTATATATCTATGTATCTCTCTATATATATCTTTCTCTTTTAAAAATTATCTCTGAAATAAGTTCAGAACCCATTTCCATATTTTAAAAAAGGACCTATTAAATCCTCATGTTGGGGATGTTACATTCAGCTTCAATCTCAAGTATATTGAGAATAATACCACTGGTGGCAGCAGAAGTCACAGCTGGCTGAAGCACCTGCCTCTCTCACAGTCCTTGCCAGGACTGGGTGCACCTGGGAGGCAGGAGGATACAGGGTTCAGGAAGCCCTCTCTAAAAAAAAAAAAAAAAAAAACCTTCAGAGAAATTAAATTTAACAGAATTTGATTGAGCAAAGAATGATTCTGGAATTAGGCAGCCCTCAGAACCAGAAGAGGTTCAGAGTGATTCTGGGGCTGCCATGTAGTTGAACATTTATGGACAGAAGAAGGGAAGTGAGACATAGGAAATGGAAACGAAATACAAAGGCTAGTTGGCCACTGGGCTTCTGTGATTGGCTGAGATTCAGCTGTCTGTTAAAAAGCACATTTCTTTTTTTAAATTAATTTTATTGGTACATTTTAGGTATACAATATAATGACATTCATCATTTGAAATTTGCACCTGTACATAATCTCTCTTGGTTCTTATTTTTTCTCCATTCCCCTGTCCTCCCTATTTACAAAGACATTGTTTCCATTTTTTCATTTTCTCATATTAATTCCACTCCCTTCTTTCCTTTCCACTACCCCTCCCACTTCCCCTTTCCCTTTGCCCCTTTTCTTCCTATTTCACATTATCTATTATACCTTTTAGTCCTTATTTACACTTTCAGTTTCTCACACCAGAAAAACTATGTGTAAATACCGATTTACACATGTGTATCCTGTTTAATTCACTTAAGATTATTGGTTCAATGTGCATCCATTTAGCTATAAATGTCTCTAATTTCTCATTTTTTATGGCTGAGTAGTATTCCATTTTATAAAAAAAACACATTTTCTTTATCCAGTCTCCAGTTGATGGGCAATTGGGCTGCTTCCAAGTTTTAGCTATTACAAATTGTGCTGCTATGAACATGGGTACACATATATCAATGTGTTATGATTCTTTTAAATCTTTGGGGAAGATACCCAGCAGGGGAATAGCTGCGTCAAATGGGACTTCTAGTCCTAGTTCTTTGAGGCATCTCCATACTGATTTCCACAGTGGTTGCACCAGTCTACACTCCCACCAGCAGTGGAGCAGTGTTCCTCTTTAACCACAGCCCGGCCAGCATTTGTTATTGGTTGATTTCATGATAGCAGCCATTCTTTCTGGGGTGAGGTGGAATCTCAGCATTGTTTTCATTTGGATCTCTCGAATGACCAGTGATGTTGAACATTTTTTCATATGTTTAATTGCTGTTTGTACTTCTTTGTCTGAGAAATGTCTGTTCATTTCAGATGCCCATTTTTGGATTGGGTCTTTAAATTGGGGAGGTCTGATTTTTTTTTTAAGTTCTTTATAGATTCTAAATAATAGACCTTTGTCTGAGGAACAGAAGGTGAAATTTTTTTCCCACATTGTGGGTTGTCTCTTCACACTGTTGGTGGTTTCTCTTGCTGTGCAGAAGCTTAAAAAGCAAATTTCTAAGGCATTCAGTTTGTATACTGAGTTTGGTTGCAGTTCATTATGTAGGATTCTACAGAAGCTTCTAGAGCCCAAATTTAGTTTGACTGAATACCCTCAAGACCAGTGAACCATGTAATGGGGTCAGAGGGTGTGAGGTGGTCTGAGAGGAGAGGCTCTCTCGCTCCTGGAGAGGGCTTAAAGAGGTCTCAGGTGCATCAGAGAGCACAATCAGAGTGAAGAGGCAACTCATGGGTGTCGGGAGCAATTCTACATCATTTTGGGGAAAAATCATTTGATTAGGCCTAGTTCTCCTACCTACAGGCCACTATGGGATTTTGAGACAAAACTCCATTTTGGCCTCGGGTCACAACTGAGACCTTAATGGTCCAGTGATGCTGTGATGCTCCAGGACAAGATTGCAGCAGTTGAAGACATCCTGGGAGGAACAAAATCTTCATCTACACAGTTCCTGATTGTTCTTGGATTTCTGCCAGCAGTCATTTGTTACATTTTGTTTATCCATATGTACTGAACTCTCTGCAAGTCATTTGTTACATTTGTTTCTCCCGATATACTGAATAAAAGGTGCAGTAAACTAAGGGGTCTTTAGTCTTTGCTGTCCAGAGCAGCACTGATCAGGCCCAAAGCTCACCTTCTTCTCAAAGTCTCATTTTTTCTACCTTTTTAGTATAATAAGTCAATTCATCTTGTGCTGTCATGGCTCGCAGGAAACTAGGACTTACTGCATTCTAGTAACGCCCCGTACACATGGGGAATCAGAAAATAATGGCAAATTGTACTATCTGCTAAGAGAATGTCTATTCAGAATATATAAAGAATTCTTACAACTCAATACCATCAAAACAAATGAGCAAAGAACTTAAATAGGCCTTTCTCCTAAGATAGACAAATGGCCAATAAATGCATAAAAAGATGCCTAGGAACTCTAGAATTAGAGAAATGAAAAAAATCAAACTTACAGTAAGATAACACTTCATAACCATTAGAATGGCCATTATAAAAAATAAAGTGGTAGATGTAGAGAACCTGAACCCTTATCCATTGCTAGTAGGAAAGTAAAATGGTACAGCTTCTGTGGAGAACAGTATGGCAGCTCTCAAAAAAAAAAATTAAGCAGAATTACCACATAACCAAGAAATTCCACTTCTGGGTCTATACACAGGAGAATTGAAAGCAAGGAGTTGAACAAGTAGTAGAACACTTAGTTTTACAACAGTTAAAGGATGGAAACAACCCAAATATCCAATGTTGATGAATGGAAAAACAAAGTAGGGACTTATTGATATCTGGCCTAGAATTTCAGTTTGGGAAGTTTTTGACCCCCTAAACTCCTTAACCTGTACCTCAGAAAAAAACTGATGTGCTTCCTGACATAGAACAGTTTACAATTTCTTTTTTATAAAATTATTTTATTGGTACATTTCAGATATACGTAATGATGATATTCATCATAGGGAATTTGCACCTGTACATAATGTATCTTGCTTCTTTTTTTCCCATTCCCCTCCCCTCCCCTCAACCCCTCTTCCTCTCCTTCTTTACAAAAGCTTTGTTTCTATTTATTTCCTTTTGCTTTCTATTTTTTGTTGTCCCATCCTTCCTTTCCTCCTAATTGTTTTTCAGATGCTCAGTTTTGGATTGGGTGTTTAAATTTGGGGGGTGGTCTGATTTTTTTCAATTCTTTATATATTCTAGATATTAGTCCTTTGAGGAACAGCTGACAAAATTTTTTTCCCCACTCTGTGGGTTGTGTCTTCACTCTGTTGGTGGTTTCTTTTAATGTGAAAAGGCTTTATTATAAGATGAGATCCCAGTTGTTCATTTTTTGTGATATTTCCTGTATGATTGGGGTTTTACTTACACCAATGTCTTCAAATAATCTACCTATTTTATCTTCCAGCAGATTTAGTGTTTTTGTTTTAATATTTAGATCTTTGATCCATTTCAATTTTAGTTTAGTGCATAGTGAAAGATTTGGGTCTACTTTTAATCTTCTGGATGTGGAAAGCCAGTTTTTCTGGAACAATTTATTAAAGAGGCTTTCTTCCAATGAAGATGTTTGACCAAAGATAAGGTGGCTAAGTGTGTTTGGAGTAGTTTCTGCATCTTCTAATCTGTTTCATTGGTCCTTGAGTCTTTTTTTTTTTTTTTAACAGTACTATGCTGTTTTTATCACAGTAATTTTGTAACATAAAAGTTTGGGGAGTGTGAAGGAGGATATGTCTGACCTCTTTCTTCTAGTAATCAGTTGGGTCATCTCTTCTGACCCATTGAAATAGTACGGAGGACCGGCCATGCCCATTGGAGTCTGTGAGTTCACCTCCCCCCAATGCACTTTATACTTCCGGAGGGCAACTGAAGACACACTGTGTAACAGGGACTTGGCCACTGCTATGGTTTGGATAAGTGTCCTCCAAAGATCTATGTGTTAAAAGCTTTGTCTCCAAGGTGGTGCTATTGAGAGGAGGTAGAACCTTTAGGAACTGATATTCTTAGATCATTGGAGGCATGCCCTTGAAAGCAATTTAGGAACTCAAGCCTCTTCCTTTTGCTCTTTTGCTTCTTGGCAATCAGATGGTGTTATGGTTTAGATCTACAACATGCCCACCTCCATTCTCATGTGTGTGAAAGATGACTGAATCATGGGAGTGTTGTACTCATCAGTAAACTGATCCATTGATGAGTTCATAGCTGAGAGTGCTGTTAGGAGGTGGGACCTGGCTGGAGGTAGGTCACTGGGGGTGTGACCTGGAAGGGTGTGTTCTTGTCCGTGGTTCCTTCTTTCTCTCTGTTTCCTGGCTGCCTTGAGTTGAGTACCTTTCCTTTATCATGTTCCTCTGCCATTCCTGTTTCTGCC